TTTTGAAGTTTGATTAAGTTGGATAAGGCTTTAAATAAAAGGTTTCAAGTAAATTGCATAAAGGAAAGACTTGGTAAAATAAACAAGGCTTTAAGGTAAAGGTTCGACAGGAAATGTAAAGAGAAAAGCAAGTAAAATTCTGGGAAAGTAAATGACTTTAATTGATAAAATTGGTGTTTCACACATACATTTCTCAACAATTCTTTCTCACACGCTGGGTACTCGAATCTAAATGAGTGACTTTGTATGGAATTGTGAACACACGCGAGAAACTACATGTCTACTCCTATTTATACTAAAACATTCCAAGTAACCGTCGGGAAGTTACACTGCTTCGAGATCAATCCACTTGGCACGTTCTCCATGCTCGACGCTCCAGATCCTTGCACGTTTGCACGTAGTAACTGCTGGAAACCGTTTTCCCTCCAAAGCTTTGAATTTCAAACTGCTCCACTCTGGACCATCGAACACTTTCGTCAAGAGACATCTTCGACGAGAAACTCCTTCGACGTCGAAGGCAATCAGCCTTCTTCCTTGGAAGAAATCTTCTAAGTACTTTTACCATCTTTCGACGGTCACTTTGACAGACTTAGCCAGTCGAAAGCATCTTTCAGCTTTAATGGCTGATATCAATCAAAACAAAGGTGTCGAATTTAGGAGCCAACAGAGACTCGATCATTGGAAACAATAGTCATCTTTGCAGCGGATTAATGGATCAAAAATAGGGCTCTAGATGCCAAATATTGTACCCCAAAATTTACCCTCTCATATTTTCCCAAGGTTTTTCTCTTACATAGGTTAAAGAAAAATAAATTTTTTTGAAGATAAACAAGGTCTTTCGATTGACATGAATAAGGTGTCTTTCGATTGGCATTTTGACAGGCTTCGATTGAGCGCCTAACCTCCTCCAAGCTTGCCTCAAATTTCCAAGCTTCGATTGAAGCCTTGGTCTTTTGCTTGTTTGTTGTATACCAGCTTCGACTGGACATGTGTTTCCTTTGAAACAACCTCCTTCGATCCAAAAGGGAAAGGCCTCCTAATTAGTGCTCCTTCAATTGCACCATTGGCTTTGCATGTTGGCTTGATTCATAATGCAATGGCTACTTGCATACAAGCTGGATTCCTGCTTCGTTTGGGCATTTAGTTTCTTTGGAGCAAGCTTAATTCTTGCTTCGATTGGGAATTTGATGTCTTTGGAGCAAGCTTGATTTCTGCTTCGACTAGGAAAATCATCCCTCTGTACGTGCCTTCATCGTACAAAGCAAGAACTTCTTCAAACTGGCCTTCGATTCACAAAGCTCCCACTGGGCAAAAGGCCCCTCAGCTTGTCAGCAGTGCATGTATGCCTCTTCATGCTTGCCTTGGTTTCACAAGGCAAAGACCCATCAGCACGCCTTCAACTTACAAAGCAAGAACTTCTTCAAACTGGCCTTCGATTCACAATGCAAAGGCCCCTTCTTCAGCTTGCCTTCAGCACACAAGGCCAAGACTCCTTCACGGTTGCCTTCGATCCACCAGGCAAAAAGCTTCTTTTGATTCGCTAGGCAAAAAAGTTACCTTCGACCCACAAGGCACTGACTACCTTTGTACCAGCTTCGCCTAGGCAATGGCCTCCTCTACACCTGCTTTGACTTGCCTCATGCTAGCATCCACAAGGCATATGCTACCTTTGTGCCAGCTTCGAATGGACAATGGCCCCCTTTTAAACAATTTTACACACTTCAACACGCATGATAACCATTCGAAGGACACACCTTGGTGGCTCATTCGAAGAGGGCACAAAGCGTACACAGAAAGTCCATTCAAAAGAGCCAGTCGAAGGAGGCAATTTGAGGCCAATCAAAGGGCAGGGATTGAAGGCGTTCGAAAGGGTGAAGCGTGTCCAGGTTCATTCAAATTCAAAAATGGACAAGTTTCCATGACTTTTGCAACGTTACAAAACTTCATTCATGGCTTTGAAAACATTTGTTTATGGCTGTTTAAACCATTGTCTTCTTGTCCCCCCCCCCCCCCCCCCCCCCTTCTACTCTATATAAGCAGCATACTTGCAAGCCAAAAGGAGGCTTACACACATACGATGCCCCATAAACCACCCCAAAGGTATCAAAATCCTCATATGAGTCCCAGTCGAAGGAAATTTTAACAACGCTCCATTCATTCCCTGAAGTCTGCAGGAAGTATTCTTACACTAGCCAATTCACGCCCCAGTCGAAGCATCTCATCCTTGGTAAAATTTTAAACTCATGTTCTTGTTTTCATGATATATTGATATTTCCTAGTGTTTGATTCATGCCTAGGATATAAGATAGCACAACGTTCTCATGGACATACAAAGATATAAGGCATGATACGTGTTTTTCATCGAATCCCAAGAGACTTTGGTTTTTTCTAAGGCGAACGAGCCCAAATTCGAATTCAAAGAAGTCTAATTAATGGGAGGTCGAACTGGAAAAAAGACTTGGGTTCACGCCCAGGTCATGCTTTTGTATTGTTGACATTTTTTCTTGCAGATTTTAGTGCTTTCATGCCAAGTCATCAAGCGCCTCAACATCGTTCTCTACTGGGTGGAAAGCTTGCCTTCACAAGATCGAAGGTTTGTCCCCATGGATCTAAAACCATTTTTCTTCCCTAAATCGAAAGACCACGTATCCCCCCTTGAATCGAAGGAGGGCTTTTCGTGTCATTAACTTTGCTTCACTCATTTCTTTATTGATTTTTTTAAAATTAACTTCAAATCAAATAAAATCATTAAAAAAATATAGTTTTAGTTTTTAATTAAATTAATTTTGTAGATTAATTAATAACTATTTTAACTATTTTTCTTCAATTAAAAATAAATTAGAATTTAGGACTTAATTCATGTTTAATTATTTTCTTTAAATAATAAAAAAGACTAAAAAAGAATTTAGACTATTTTTCTTGATTAATTTTATTTTCTAAATAGACTTTAGGATAATTTCAATTTAATTATTTTCTTGAATAAAAAAAAACAACAAAAAGGAATTTTTTTATTAGGTTTTTTAGACTATTTTTCAATCTTTCGCGCGTTATTTATTTTTCGCATTTTTTACATTATTGTAACTGCATACTGAGATGTAATAAGTAATTAGGCTTTATTTTCTGCTTTTAATTTATGCACTCCCTAAATTTTGTACATTATAAATTCCTCCCCCAAAGCCATGTAATAGTCTAGGTTTTTACCTTCTGCATTTTATATTCTGCAATACATATTAACTGCTAGTAACTAGGCGTGTATGAAAAGACTGAAATCAAACGTTAACAAACCTAATAACGCGAGATAAATAACTGAATTGAACACAATTGCACATATGCACCTCTAAGGTATGCCCATTTTTGTTGTCTTCAGAAATAAAACAGTTGTGAGGCGGGAACGCTTTAGCAAATACCCATAAATCAAAAGATCATAGTCTCTCGATGACCCTACAGTTGCCTCTCGGTAAATGATCTAGTCCCTAAACAAAATTGCTAAAGCGTCTTCACAAGTTGCCTTCGTGATTGTAATGTCCCTTCGAATGTCCCTTATACATCCAACAATAGGGCTACCTATTCACTAATAGTAGGATAGCACTATCTAAAGGATAGGAGGAAAAGAACTACCTTTTCGAGTACAAAGTAGATAACTGTCAGAATTTTACTCAAAAACATTTTGCACTTACACAAATACTACTTTTCAAAAACAATTTTCAAAACATTTGCTTTGTTAGACACTCTTGAGGACTGATACAAGAGTTAAACGCAAAGCAAATCACCACACTAAGGCATTTCAAAACATTTTTCAAACACACAAAGCACAAAGACATTTCAAAATGAGCAAACATCTAAGAGCCTGTAGATAACTACGGATGGAAAGAGTGCTAACACACCTTCCCTTTCCATAATTTACCCCCCTTACTCAAAAAATCTCGAAAAAGGTCTTTTTTTGTTCTTTTCACCATTTCCTTAATTTGGATAAAAGAAAAGTCGGTGGCGACTCTTGCTTATTGTAATATTTGCGAACACAAAACGCAAAAATCAGTATTAAACTGTCAATTCTGCCACCGTATAACACCAAATGTTGGAACAAACACAAAGCTTGTGTGGTGAATCAATGATGAAATGTGGTTAATTGGAGAAGATGAAGTGAATTTGGAGATATTGAGAGAGAGGTAGAGAGAGAGAGAGAGAGAGAGAGAGAGAAAGTAATTAAGGAGAAAAATGTTAAAATGACATTAATTTCAAACAATGTTACATGAGGGATACTTATAGAATACACGCAACAACTTGAAATCCAAAACAAGCCCAAAAAACAACTAAAAAACCCAAAACACGCACTACGCCAAATAAGCTATTTAATAGCGCTTTTTTTTGTTTTTGATAGCGCTTAAAAGTGCTATTAACCGCGCCACTATTGTAAATATTTCTTATTTAATAGCACTTTAAAAGCGCTATTAAAGTACCAATTTATAATAGCATTTTAATTAAAGTGCTATCAAAGTCAGTATTTTGCATGTTTTTTGTTTGTTTTTTTATAGCACTCTAAACAAAAAGCGCTAATATATAACATATGTTTGATAGCGCTTTCAAATAAAGTGCTAATAAATGGTACATATTTGGTACAATATTTTTAATAAGTACAGTACAATATTTTTTCTTACACAATCATTTTTTTTGGTGTAAATATAAAATAACTATATTCAATTCAACACAAATAACGCTTTAAGTTACTCATTGCATATATATTATGATCCATCAAATACCAAATAACATTTTAAATTACCAAATCCTATTGTTTCCAAATATCATAACATATAGAATATTAAGAGGGCGTTTGCATAGCCAAATTTGTAGATGCCCATCTATGAGTACTTCAATCCAAATCCAAAAACATACAATCAAATTCTCTAAACAAAACACCAAAAAAAATAAGAAAGGATAACAAAACAATCCCATGTAGTAACCACCTTCATGATCCAAAAGCGTTGAACTCATAGATACAATCACTAATTAGGCAAAATAATTGCTTCTTGTTTTCCTGTATCATAGAAGGAATATTGATTATGTATTGTACAATAAAAACTAATTCAACATATAAAGAATAATCAAACATTTAATATGGGTCTAACAAGAAGCGCATAAAATAAGGAATGATTATTATAAACTAATAACAATAAATCGATATAACTAATGCAATAATTGAACTAATTAAGTCTAACAAGAACATGACTTGTAAATATATAGACCACAATTTCCATTATTAGATGCATATAAACACTAAACAGAATATAATTCAAATTCTCAAAATATACATAAACACTTAATTGTGTGTAACTTTCTTTTCATGATCCAGAATTAGATATCAAACACCTTACAATTGTTACTACGAATATCTAAAAATTTCAAGTAGAAACGGAAAACTATAAATCAATCATACAATAAGATATAAGTCATTTTTCCGTATTTTCCTATTTCAAAATTTAAATTCGAGACCAAGAAAGAACACTCAGTACCTCTGTGCCATATCTTCTAAACCAATAAAATACTAAAATCATTTATACGACAACTCTAAATCCAACTCAAAAATTAAAATTAAACATCTAAGTCAAAACATTTGAACTCTAAATCCATGAGTAATATTTGTCTTGTTTATCAAGTATCAAGTCAAGGAAAAACTCACCGAAAACATCATCCACCACATAAGTAGCCCAATCCTCCTTAACCTCAGTTAACTTATCATGAGAGTAGGTACGACATTTGTGGTCAAAAAAGTACTTCAAATATGAAAACATCAACAATTAATCGTGTTAGAATTAAATTATATTAATTTAATTTACAAAAGAATAATAATAATAATTAAAATCACGTACATTTGTGGGGATCATAAATTCATTTTCCATGATGACCTCTTTCATAAATCGCATTACAAAGTATCCACAATCAACGCCATTAATTTGACGAGGACACTACAAAAAAATAATTTATATCGATTAATTTTACTCCACATAATTGTTTTAAAATAACATTAATTTAGACACATACCTTTATTTTTTGCCATGAGATTTTCTTTGACTTTGACACTTTAGGCACTTTAGAACTACTATTAGCACGATAAATTTGCAAAGCGCTAACAAAATGAAATTAACTTCAAATGAGTAATTATATAAATAATAATACGTACATAAAATTTAAATTAAAAGAGTCTATACTCACTTCTCAAACTTTGTTTTAAAATTTTGATGTTTTGTTGGCTCACCATTCAACGGATCCATGTAATATATCACCTCAGCATTGAGATTGATGACAAGCAACACCCAATGTTTCCTGCACCCAACATTTAAATATTGCATTAAAGATTCACATTCATTAGAGTTTTTTCTCGTTAATTTAATAACTTTTTGAATATAAATCTCACCCTAGATTACAAGGTGCAAGAATCATCTTATCCTTGAACTCCTCATCTTTCAAAAGTATTTTTGCTATACCATTTCCTAGATTATCCTCCCGTGATACATGTGGAGATATGAAAGAGAACTTATTTATTAATCCATTTGGACTAATAAACTTGTCATACAAATACCTAGAAATGAACAACAATTGATATTAATATATTTGTCACCAATGTGAATATTAGTCAACAATACAAATAACATTAATATTAATAATATATTTGTCAAATAAGAGAATATTTGTAATAATAGAGGTACCTGGAAAATACAGTGATAATAGATGCACTTAACCAATTGTGATCAAGAATCTCCTTTATACTCTCTACATGTAGTTGCTCTAAAAACTCCTCACCAAATATACTTTCCTCCATTTTTATTTGAATTAATGATCCAACCCTCATCATCTTTTTCACATACATATCAAGGAAAGGTAAATTTGCAATACCAGCTGAACCGCCAACTCTAGGAGACTCTTCGATTTTGAATTTTTTGTTACTTTTGTTGGGTGATGAAACTGAATATTCAACACTGTGTTGAATATTGTTACCTTTGTTTTGGGATTGACCAGGAATCTAAAAAGTTGTATTAATTAATATTAGTGATCAAATAATAAAACAAGTAGCGATCAAGCAACTTGATTATAAGTAATTTACCTTTTCACATTCAGCAACAAATTCAAGAAGTTTCGTTGGCCATGGCACAATTGTTCATATTGCTTGACCAACCATGGATACATCTCCATCTTCAACAGATATAGGCAATGGGGCATTTGGCACAATAGCAACTTCGATATTAACCTTGACATATCCAGGTGGTAACGTCATGCCATGTACCGTGTTACCTTTGGTGTTATATAGTTTTCCACGAGCAACCAAACAACGACTCGGGGAGGATAAATATATATTAACAGGAAAGAGACCCTAAACCAATAAGATATGAATAAAAAGATTAACATCATTATTGAAAGAACAAACATATCGAATTTGAGAGATAATAAAGAAACCAATTACCTCGGGAATGTTGCCAAATGATCCAGGGTTGCAAGAACCTTTATCACTAGGTAGTCGACTCTCAGCTACTTTTTCTGGTTTTTTCCTTTCTACCACTTGTTCAAGGTGTTGCCTCTGTGCCACTTTTTCAGGTTGTTGCAACCTCTCTGACACTTGTTTAGGTTGTTGCCTTTCTTCCACTTCTTCAGTTTGTTGCCTCTCTAGCTTCTCTCTATCCAACTTATCTCTCTCAATCTTTTCTCTCTCTAGCACCTCCAATCTACTTTTGAGTGAATTACAAAAGCCATACAATTTTTCAAAATCCATTTGTGTGGGGCGATTTTGGCGTGGTAATATGTCCCTAGAACATACCCCAAAACCATAAGTCCTAACACGTCCAGAGTAGTTTGGGAGATTAAGAGCCTCAAATAATATGTTTGTGGGACCAAGGTCTTGTCTCTCTTCTTCAGATAGAGCTTCTGTTAACTTCTCCTGACATTGATAAGTATAAAAGAAATAACCAATAGTTAGATACAAGTTGCAATTAATGGCTATTCTATCAAAATAAGACACAAAGACTCAATTAATTAAGGAAAATCGAGTTTAATGACTTCAAACTAACTAACAAAATACAAATTCGGTAACAATGATGAGTATAAAAAAAGTGTCACATCTATAATGTGAGCATTTTGGAAATAACATCTATAGTGTCACATCTAAAATTCGACTTACACATTGATCCACAACTCTTTGAACATTCTCATTATCAATCACCCCGCTCTTATTGACGCGGGCAGCCTTCCACACTTGACTACGGTTTATCTCACCAACTTCTGACTCTTCTACCTGTATATACATTTTTACAAATTAACATAGCAATTAAATTTTTTTATAATATTGTATAGTACATTTATACACATACTTACCATATCAGCTTCAAGACGAGCACACCCTAAACGTGACTTTCTATAGGGATGTTGAGGATTTAACGCTCTTTCTCGATTCTCATCACTAACTTTCTGCATTTATTATAAAAAATGCATCCCACAACACTATCACTAATACTATAATCATGCAAAACTTTAAGGATCCATATCCAAGTGATAAAAGTATTACCTGAAACTTTGCAGTCATATGTTGGGCTACAAATTTATCCCAATCATCTTGTTTTATACAAAAAGAATATTTGGCCGGACGATGTTTAACAAAACCACCCTTACTATCTTTTAGATATGACCTCGCCATTTTTGTTCTGAATGCCCTGTGCAACTTTCCAGCTTCTCTATATACAAAGGCACGATGTTCCTCGCCAATTATAAAAGCTTTCTGCAAATAATTCAGTTTATTAAAACATAGTTCAGTTTATTTAAACATCCCAATCGATAGATTAACGAAATTAAAATTTTACAACTAGCTTAAGTTAGTGTGTTACTTCAATTTCATCCCAAATGTTTTGTTTATAAACCCCCACAGCCTCTTTATTTTTTTTCGCGCTCCAATTGTCCAAGCTTATTGGAACTAACCGACGAACTGTGACACCAATGAAACTAGCAAAAGTCTTGCTATTATGCTTGATTGGTTGACCTCTGGAATTCCATTGAACCTATAACAAAATTAAAGTGCAAATAAAGAATCAACAGTCTCACTAATAGTGTTTAACATTCAAATAGTTTCAAACAACTTACTCATAAAAGATAATCATGTATGTAACCATCACTCATACATAGTTCAGTAAAAGGAAAATTGCCAAGAGAGTAAACAGTATCATAAAACTCTAGCTATTTTACCTCAATTCTCTTTCCATTGCTTTTGGCTTTGTGAATTTTTTGCAATCGGGTCACACCACGTTTACCAACTGTTTTCTTACTAGACGAACCACTTTCATCATCAATAGAAGCCATATTTCACCTATAAAAATTTAAAAAGTTATATACCATACAAGAATAACATTAAGAAGCAATAACAATAAAAAAATGAAAAACAAATAAATAAACCATACAAGATTAAGTCGGCCTTTTCCTCTTCCTTGTAGTTGGATTCCTACTTTTTTGTTTTCTAGTTACATAAAATGATGGATTGATCCAAATCCCATCACTGTGATCGTTTCTCATATAAAGAATATCATCTATAATTGATTCAGACTCAAGGGATTGTGAAGTATTAAAGAAAGGGTCATCCTCAACATCTATATTTGGAGTGGTGTGATCATTTATTTTGTTACTTAGAAACACAATAGACCACTTTTCATCAGCAGGATCAGTGACATAGAACACTTGGTGAGCTTGTGATGCTAAAATAAAAGGCTCGTCTTTATACCCTACTTTATTAAGACCGACCTTCATGAACCCAGGGTCAACTTGAAGGCCATTGTTATTGTCAACCCACTTGCAACCAAACACGGGCACTTGAAAGCATGAGTAATCCAATTCCCAAATACGTTCAATGACCCCAAAATATGACAATTTGGAAAATGCGGGATTTCTATTTTTGGAACTTGAGATATGCACAGATTCAGCTACGAGTGTGACACCGCTATTTTGCACAGTGCTTTGATGATCATGTTCTTCTGTATAAAATGTATACTTGTTAATTATATAACCAGAGTACGATAGAACATTTGAATTTGGACCATTTGCTAGCCATCTCAATCTTTCTGAAATTGAATCAGGATTTTTAGCAAATTCTGAAAAAATGTGTTCTTTTAGCCACGGTATAAAACTTCGATTGTGTTCTCTTGTTAACCAATTTTCACTCTTATTAGGGTTCAAACTTTGAAGTATTTCTTTGTGCTTTTCAACATATGGCTCAACCTCATCAGCATTGTGTAGAACATACAAGTGTGATTGCTCCAATTCGATGTCTGACATGGTTACTAGTTTACTTGCACCAATCCCTTCCCCTGTTGTTTTTCCAGAGTGTCGTGACATTGGAATCCCTATGGGCTCAATATTAGAGAGGTATTCAGTACAAAACTCAATGGCTTCTTCAACTAAATATCGTTCAACAATACAACCATCTGGTCGACTTCGATTCTTCACGTACCCTTTTATTATCTTCATGTAACGCTCAATCGGGTACATCCACCTCATATAAGCTGGTCCACAATATTGTGTTTCCATTATAAGATGGACTGTAAGATGAACCATTATGTCAAAAAATGAGGGTGGAAAATACATCTCAAGCTCACATAATGTGACAACAATTTCCTTTTGTAACGTCGGTAACTTCTCAGGGTCAATAACTTTGCTACAAATAGCTTTGAAGAAAAAACAAAGTTTAGTTATGGTCCATCGCACATTTTCAGGTAAAATGGAACGTATAGCCACTGGAAGAAAGTTCTCCATTAAAACATGACAATCGTGAGACTTTAAACCCTTCAATTTGAGATCTTTCATAGATACCAAACTCTTAATGTTTGATGAGTATCCCTCTGGAACTTTAACATTGTGAAGAACCTTACACAAGATCTTTTTCTCTTTTCTTGACAGAGTATGAGCTGCTGGAGGTAGAAATGTACGCTTCCCATCCCTCTTAACCGGCTGTAACTCATTTCTTAATCCCATACTTTGCAGGTCTAACCTTGCATTAATGCCATCCTTAGACTTTCCTGGAAGATTGAGTAATGTACCAACGACACTTTCGAACACATTTTTTTCTATATGCATCACATCAAGGAAATGTCTAACATACAATGACTTCCAATACGACAATTCAAAGAAAATTGACTTTTTTTCCATCCTCCCTTTACAAGTTCACTTGAAAATGGCTTTCCAAAATTAGTGCTCAAAAGCTTTACCTTTTGGTATAATTGATCACCCGTCAAAGCCAAAGGAGTTCTATTTTCTTCTGATTCACCATTAAAAGCTTTTCTCCATTTTCGAAAATGATGGTTGGTATTTAAAAATCTACGGTGTCCAAGAAATACATTCTTCATACAATACTCCAATCGTATTGAATGTGTACCATCTTCACATATGGGGCATGCAAATTTTCCTTTGACACTGTAGCCTGATAGATTCCCATAGGCAGGAAAATCATTGATTGTTCCAAATAACATAGCCCTCAAGTTGAAGGATTCTTTTTTATACTCATCATATACCTCCACACCTGTCTCCCACATATGCTTTAAATCTTCAATTAATGGAGCCAAGTATACATCTATATCATTTCCTGGTTGCTTGGGCCCAGAAATTAACATACTCAACATCGTGTATTTGCGCTTCATACATAGCCATGGAGGTAGGTTATAAATCAACAAAATGATTGGCCAAGAAGTAAGTTTACTACTTTGAATACCATGAGGATTTATTCCGTCAGTAGACAATGCAAGACGTAGGTTTCTTTCTTCCTTCCCAAAATTTGGGTAATCATGATCAATTTTTGCCCATTGAGGAGAATCTGCGGGATGTCGGAGCATTCCATCAACAACCCTTTCATTTGCATGCCATGTTAAGTTCTTTGCGTCTTCTGCATTATGATACATGCGCCTAAATCTTGGTATTATCGGAAAATACCATAGCGTTTTGGCTGGAGCTGTTTCTTTCTTCTTATAGCGTGGGGCACTACATTTAGGACACATATTCAACGATGCATACTCCTTGCGAAATAAAATGCAATCATTTGGACAAGCATGTATCTTCTCGTAACTCATGCCAATAGAACATAACAATTGTTTAGACTCATACGTTCGACTAGGGAGCACGTTGTTCTCAGGCAAAATATCCTTTAACATAGTCAACAAGTCTGTGAAGCTCCTATCGGACCATCCATGGCGTGCTTTTAAGTTATACAACTTTAAGACCGTTGACAGTCTTGTGAATTTAGTACATCCATCATACAACGGAGTCTCTGCATCACTTACTATCCGCTCAAACATTTGAGGACAATCACGAAGATCTTCCTCAATTACATTGACAAATTCTTCAACTCGATCAAACGCATAATTCGTATCTTTTTCAAAATCATTTGATGAATCTCTCCCATTGCTCCTTTTTGTGGACTTGGTTTTTTTTTCCCCGTGCATTATCCAGCATGTGTAGCTTTTATCAATTCCATTACATATTAAGTGATCTTCCAAAACATTTGCACTAACATCCGTATAACAACATTCTAAGCAAGGGCATATGATTTTACTAGTGTCTTCAGCATGAGCAATAGCAAACCTAACGAACTCACGAACTCCATCTTCATATTCTTTTGACGCTCGATTGGCAAACATCCATTTTCGATCCATATTTCCTAACAAGTAACATATATAACTAGTTAAAAATTGGTTCTAACAACCAAATTATGTATTTAAGAGTCATATAGCATATGAGATTATGAATTTGATTTTGACTTTATGATCCATATGAGATTATGAATTTGATTTTGACTTTATTATGAACTTGAGTTTGAGCAGGATATACGAAGGAAAATAGCAACCTTGTGGTGATTGGGCTGAGTGTGCCAATAAGTCACTGAATGGATGTCAAGTGTAGGTTCTATCATCACTTGGTTATCTATAAGCACTTCTTATGAAAATAAAATGCCAATAAAAAGAACCGTCTTTGAGGGTGTATAAGTCGGGCTATTGCGCATAACCCAAAAGCCCAAAATAGTTTGTTTATTAATAAATTAAGAGTGGAAGAGACACAACCCAATCTGCAAGGAAATGACAGCAACATACAAATTTTTTTATCTGAATCATGGGCGAATATGGCTGCTTAGGAGGTGAGTTTGGAAACAGATGGCTTCAAACTTGTTAGTTCAAAAAGGAATTCGAAAAAATCCAAGAAGAAGAAATTAACTAGGGATAAACCTAGTACATCTAATCCTTTCTCATGAAGTGCATATTCTGGAATATTAGAGGAATTGCAAATGCCTCTTCCAGACTTGCTCTCAAAAGATTAATTTCTGTTAACAATCTAGACTTGGTTTTGGTAGCAGAACCTTGGATGGACTTTTCTAAATTCCTTCAAACTTGGCTTAAGAAGCTCAACCTTAAGCTATTTGCCATGAATTATACGCATGATCTTTTGCCTAACTTATGGTGCTTTTGTAAGTCTAATATCACCCCTACTGTTTTGTTGAGAGATAGTCAACATGTCTCCTTCACTATTGTTGATAACAATAAAGTTTTTGGTCTTTCGGCCGTGTATGCTTTCACAAGCTACATTACCAGAAGGCATCTGTGGCACAATATTGCTCCTATTTTTAAGGATACCCTTGGTGCTTTATTGGGGACTTTAATTCCATTATTGAGGCCGAGGAGTATCATGGTTCAAACACCCCTGATAGTACTCCTATGAAGGATTTCCATAGTTGGTCTGATACCGATCATTTAATTCACTTGCCTACTATGGGGAATCCTTTTACTTGGAGCAATGGTAGGTTGGGCCGTAAGCATTCTGAGAAAAGGCTCGATAGAGCTGTCTATAATTTCCATTGGATCGATACTTGCTCCTCAACATCCTGCCATACTCTTGTCAAAAACAAGTCTGATCACTATCCCCTGCTTCTAAACTTCGAGTATAATGATCCTAAAGTCACATCTAATTTTAAATTCATGAATATGTGGACCCTTCACAAAGATTGCTTGAATCTCGTTTCTCAAACTTGGCATTCCAAAGTGTATGGCTGTCCCGTATATGTTTTAGACAAAAATCTGAGGATTCTTAAAGCTAACCTAAAAGAGTGGAACAAAAACAGTTTTGGTAATGTGCAGGAAAAAGTTAAAATTGCTGAAGACCACCTTATCAAAATTCAGGACACCCTCGCTAGTCAGGGGTACTCTGAAGTTCTGCAACATCAAGAGAAGGAGCCGCAGGAAGCTCTCAATGAAGCCCTTGATATAGAAGAGGCTTTTTGGAAGGAGAAAGCCAGAGTCAACTGGTGCACTAATGGCGACAGGAAATTTGGT